GAATGCATTTCATCCCCTTATCTGTTCAATCTGTACTCAGAACGTATCATACAGAAAGCCAGACTAGATGCAGATGAAGGATGGGGGAAAACTGGTGGGGAAAACATCAATAATTTAAGATATGTAATTGATACCATCTTACTGGCAGAAAAACAGTAATAACTTGAAACAACTTTTAGTGAAAGTGGATGGTGAAAGTGAAAAAAGAAAGTGCCAAAGCAGAACTGCAGTTGAACGTTAAGAAGACAAAAATCATGAATACAGAAAAACTACACTGCTTTAATGCTGACAATGAATAAACTGAAATATTAAAAGGTTCTGTGTAACTTCATTCTGCTAACAGGGGCTGCTGAGAATAGGACATTTTGGAGATCATTAATTCAGAGGCTTGCTGTACATCGGATGCAACTTGCTGCCATGTAACAACGACTACTAGAAAAGCAGTGAGAAACCTGAAGCCTGAGGTCACATCCTGTCCTCAGCCAAAGATCACTTTGCTCTAATTCTGTGGCTGCAGAAAGAAAGACAGGATGGCATAGAAACTGTGTTTGTATAACATGATCCTGCATTTGTACATTTTCAGCTCTGAGAGTTAGAGGCTGGGAGTCTTATATGCTCTGCTTTAGAACATAGGTCTTCATTGTTAACTCTGGAATTCTTCCAGCAATAGTGTACACCACAAAAACATTCCTGTACGTTTTGCCTGGGTGTGGTGGCCACACGCTTTGTTCCTCAGTATAACATTCAGTGACATTTAGACGTGTATGAACAGTGGTGAAAAATCCTCATAACCTGGAGCCTGACACCACCAACGCAGAAGACAAGAAGTAACTTGAACTCCAAAAAAGCTTTATCTCTAAAGAGGTTTTTAAAAATCTGAACTGAAGAGGGTGAAAAAAAACCCAGATGAATAAATACCATACTTAAGATTGTATTCTGCATGTTCTGGCACACGTCACTTTTATTACGTATAACATTGGCAGCTTCACATTAATTCTCAGGGAAAGGGTTCCCATGTTTATAATAATTTATTTCATCTTGGAAGCACTGGTGATCCCTGAGGATAGCAGGATCTGCACAATAAATTATATTATTATTATTAAACACTGGTGATCCCTGTGGATAGCAGGATCTGCATGCAAGTTCTCTGAAGAAGAAGACAACGCTATGCTTGATTAAGATTAGGAGTTTTATGAGTCTGTGATGTTCATTTTACTTTTCACATGTTATCAGCCACTTTTTACATCATCAAATTTTTTTTTAAATCTGTTACTTGCCTTTTGAACTGTACATATTTTGTGTCCAAATTTGTTTGATAGTGCCTAAGAATAGGTTTGCCCTTTCTGGTAAATTTAACAGCCTGGGTAGATTTACTGAGGTAAGTAGACCTGGTCTCTGAGAAATCTGTACTGTTATTTAACTTCTCTGCGGTTTCTCAGCAAATAAACCAGTGATCAGAACATGTCTCCCCACCTGCCACTGGCAGTCTCTGTACATTCCTTACTTCTTTCACCACATCTCACATCTTGGGCCTGGTTAATGCATTAATGGGATAGAGAGTCACCTTATGATTTTGCAATTTATTCCCACACTCTGTTGTCTAGTACAGACCTAAAAGATTTAGTCCAGCATCTTGTCGTGTAGTTTCACCTGTATAATAAGAATTACATCACGGGCAGCACCAGACTGCCATTAGTTAAAAGAGGTCCTTTTACAATTTTGGGACTCATGTGATTTCAGATCACTGCACGCGAGTCATACACACCCCAAATTTTTTTTAAAAGGTTAATAGCAATCTGCCACCGCTAGTGACATCACTGCCATTATATATCTGGAGGCATGCAACAGATTCTGTATTAAGGCAACCTTATCAAGATTGTTTTGAGTCTGTATTCTATGTAATGTTAATGGTTTTCATGTTTTCTAATGTATTTTTCTGATTTTAATGGCTTTAGAATGGGATAGATTTGTATTGAGTTATTATGTTTCAGCCACACATATGTATACATACATACATACATACATACATACATACATACATACATACATACATACATACATACATACATACATACATACATACATACATACATACATACATACATAGTAAGCGAATGACGTTTGCCCATGAGTTGGTTATGAACAATGCCATGTGTTTTGTTGTTGTTGTTGTTGATGATGATCTGGCAAAGTATGAAACTGGTTTGAACCAAGCATCACAAAGTTTTGGGTGGAGACTACAGGATTTTTCATATGTTGTTGTTGTTTAGTCATTAAGTCGTGTCCGACTCTTCAGGACCCCATGGACCAGAGCATGCAAGGCCTTCCTATCTTCCACTGCATCCCGGAATTGTGTCACATTCATATTGGCTGCTTCGATGACACTGTCCAACCATCTCATCCTCAGTCGTCCCCTTCTCCTCTTGCCTTCACACTTTCCCAACATCAGGGTCTTTTCCAGGGAGTCTTTTCTTCTCATTAGATGGCCAAAGTACTGGAGCCTCAGCTTCAGTATCTGTCCTTCCACTGAGCACTCAGGGTTGATTTCCTCTAGAATGGATAGGTTTGTTCTCCTTGCAGTCCAGGGGACTCTCAAGAGCTTCCTCCAGCACCACAATTCAAAAGCATCAATTCTTCGGCAGTCAGCTTTCTTTATGGTCCAGCTCTCACTTCCGTACATCACTTCCGCACCATATGTTAAAATGGCACATATGATGGGGAATGGTCCAGAAGTGTCAAGCAATAAGATGTGAAAAGTGTGGTGATGACATATTTTTGTACAATGAAAGAACAACATAAAGCAACACAAACATCAACAAAAGTACTTCACAAATGGGCAATTTTAGTGTGCTGTAAATACCCCCTTTGAGACACTGAGGTTGTCCCCAACATTTTCTTTTAACAGAAAGCATCTCACATGTTCATGGTTGGATGAGAAACGTTCTACTAATTATTGGCCCCTTCTTAGTTTTGAGGTGTGTGTTTATGTGTGAAAATGGGTTCCACCAGGTCTAAATCAGAGGGGGGCTGAGATATAACAATTCCTTCCTGACCTCATAGAGCAGTGATAGTGAACCTTTTTGAACCCGAGTACTCAAAATGCAACATAAAATCAACTTAGTTGTTTCAAAGTGCCAACACTGTAATTAAACCTGAATGCTGAGGTTTTAGTTTAGAATAAAACAACTGCCCTTGCACTGCAAAGATTAAATGCTTGTGTTTTTTCTAGAGGAGGTATTAACAGTGAAATACTTACTGGTCCTCCAATCTCCCATTGGGCTAGGCCAGTAATGGACGCCATTGCACCCCTCCACTGATCCACTGCACCAGCAGAGGGGAATGACAAAATCCAGGATTGGAAGATGGGTAAGTGTTTCTCAATGGCGACTTATGACTCGTGTGCTCACAGAGAGGGCTCTGTGTGCCAGCTGTGGCACACATGCCATAGGTTCGCCATCACTGTCCTAGAAGGTGTAGCAGCTCTTTTTTGTTTTAAAATTTTGGATTGTGTCAGAATGCTGAAGTGTGGGCACTGGAGGGAGCACATGGAGGACCTGTGGAACTTGTTCAGATTTCAGGCTGTGCTTTGTCCATCCTTCATATAAAGCAGATGTGTGCAGATTAGGGATGAGCACAAAACAAAAAGGAGCCAGTAAGTTTCTGAAAAATTGCTGGTTCATTGGTTCGGGTCAGTTCTGATTCATCTAGACCAGAGAACCTGGACTTTCCTAAATCATGCAATTTCCTGAACTTCTTGGTTCATCTTCCCTACTCCTATAGTCATAGCCTACCCCCACCCCATTCGCAGTACCCCGTTGGCTCCCTACCTTTTGCTGCTGCTCCCTCCGCTGCCATCGCAACCGCCATCTTGAGAACTCAGCTGAGAAAGCCAGGCTTTGTTTTAGCAGCAGCTCAGCTGGCTCCTAGCTGAGAGGTGGGGACATAGCCATCGCAACCGCCATCTTGAGAACTCAGCTGAGAAAGCCAGGCTTTTTTTTTTAGCAGCAGCTCAGCTGGCTCCTAAGGTGGGAACATGGGCAGAGGAAGCTGGCCTGTGGGTGCCCGCTGGGCTACCTCTCAAAATGGCAGTGGAGGAGGACATAGCAGCAGTAAAAAGGTAGGGAGGTGACAGGGCAGTGGGAAGGTGCCTGGGAACCATTTCATAGGGCAGACAAAGTGACAAACCACTTCTTGGTTCGTTCTGGAAAAGATCAGAAATTCATGGCTCATGATTTGTGGACTTTGAGGAACCACAAAGCAAGATGATCCACCATTTTGCTGGTCCATGCGCATCTGTAGTGCAAATTTATCTTTTTTTGATTGCCACTCCTAGAATTTCCCAACGTTGCTGCCTTGGGAATTCTGGGAAATACAATTTTTTTTTAAAAGCCAAAGATAGGCATACTTCTAGTGTACAATAACAAGGAAAAAAAATGAACTTCAGTTCACATTGCCAAATAAACAATAAAAAAACCTGGAGGGGGAAATACAAAAACTTAACATATGAAGTCAGCAAAACCAGAGTACTAACAAAATATAGAACAAAGTATACAAATTAAAGTAATAAATAAATAAATAAACCCCCCAAATTCTGTTCTTTCTCTTTGCCCCAATACACTAAAGCAGTGGTCCCCAACCTTTTCCAAATAGCAGACCGGCTGGGGGTGTGGGGGGCACCCCCATGCTCATGGGTGGGGGTAGTGCTTGCAGATGGGTGGGGGCACTCACAGGTGGGCGGGGGCACTCGTGCGCATGTGTGGGTGGGCAGGGCGCCTGTACGTGCATGCATGGTTAGGTGGGGCATGTGTGTGTGTGTGTGGGCCTGCGTGGGGCGAGTGTGTGTGAGGGGGTGGGAGATCTGTCTCCGCGGCCCGGTCCTGTCAAGGCCACGACCTGGTACCGGGCTGCAGACCGGGGGTTGAGTACCCCTGCACTAAAGGATGGGTAGGACTGGAAACATACGTCCTGCAGTACAGAGTGCCATAGATTTGGAGCTACTGAGAAAAATCCCGGGGCAGCATTTCATAGGATCCAGAAATTATGTAAAAGGATCTTGCTGAGTAACCTTGGTATAAGGATAGGTTTGTTGCCACCCTCCTCTCCAAAGAAACCCAGAATGGAGCAAATGGAGATGGTCTTTCACATGCAATACAGGCCTGCTTCTCTAACTAGCTATGACAGAGAAGCTAGAAAAAAGTTGAGGGAAAGGAAGAAGGACTAAAGCCTAGGAGAAGCAATCTAAGAACAGACCTAAAAAAGAGAAAAAGGAAACATACAGAGGCTACCTACCTATATCCTTCCCCCACCCCCCAGTTAAGGTCACTTGCTATATGCACCAGTATTGGGTTCATATGGTTGTATTTTCTACACTGTCTTTCAGGGCATATACGGTATCTTTATTTCACAAAATCCACTTCTGTTCCCCAATGCTACAACACACTGCACAGATAGTTTAAATAATGCTGCCAGAATACCCAAGCTCATCAAGCTACAACTCAGGACCCTAGATTATGGGGAAAAATAATCCTTCCCCACAGTGCCAAAAACAACATTGGCAATGCCAAGAACACACCCTATCTCTCACATGAGTTTTTTGTCTAAGTGATGGGGCCCTTGAAATGTGCTATATCACGGTGCTTCAGAATGTCTTAATTCAGCTTTGAGCTGAACACTCCCCCGTAACCTATTCATTTCCATTCCATTGTTGACATTATTGAAAAATACAAAGTGACTCAAGAGGAGGGGCTCTGTTTGTTAGGGTGGTACAGTGTAAGTATAATACTCGACTGAGAGATAGTAAGTACACTTTCTGTGGCAATTGCTTTCATGGAAAAATCTTTTAAATATCAGAGGACAAACTAAGAATCTTCAAAGCCACGCAGAGAGGCAGATCTGATACGAAAGCTGGAATCATGAGCACTGCAGGGAAAGTAAGTCAATCCTTCTTTATTCATCTCAGAGTTTATTCATATTTATTCCTATACATCCCTAATTTTAAGCACAACTTAAAATTAGGTATGCATATGTAAATAGGTTAAAATTAAAACAGATTAAAATGTTAATTAGATTGTTTTTTTTACCAGAAATAGGCTACTTCAAGAACATTCTCTCAGCCATTTACTAGATATTTTGCACACCTGGTGGGACATAAAGTGCATGCCCATCAACTAAGTAAATTATTCCTTTAAATGTTGTTGTTACATTTGGGGGTCAGATGGCACCCAAAGATAAAACTGAACTTGTTGCATTTTTGATCTAGAGCAAGATTTGCTTCTGCCCAAAAGTTTCAAAAATTCTGCTTGTGGGCTGTTTCCCCAACCCTAACAACACAAGTCATCTTAGTGAAGCTGAAACTTTCCAGTCTTCCAAATGCCATCACCTACACAGCACAGGATGAAGATGGAGGTGGAGCTGTTCTGCAGGAAAGAAACAGTCAAATCCTCTAAATATTGCCACTGAACGTGTTGCAAGGTTCTTGGTCTTTCTCTGTAGAGTTAAGCCAAACCAATTAATCTGTTCCTTTCAGAAAGGCAGAAAGCTTTCTTCCAGCACAGAAGGAGCCTAGCTTTCATCATTCCATGTCTTTAGTCCAATAGATAACCACAGAAAAAGTGTTGTCAGGAGGTCCTACAGTAGTAGGGTACCATTTGAGATGGCATGTGTAGAAAAATATGTGTGCCATCACATTCCTGATGACTTAAGGCAACTTGAATAGGGTTTTCAAAGCTTGTCAAACGTTCAAGGACTGGTTTACCATGGGCATCTCCTACTCCCAGCGAGGTTCCACAGCCTTTCAGGGATTTGAACCCAGCTCTCCTAAATCCTAATCCAATATTCTATCCACAAGGGTGGCTCTCACATGGAAAGATATTTCACAGATTATTAAGTGGAACAACTGAGAGCAGCTGGTTTGGGGTACAGTCCCAGCAAGGGAACAAATTATACTGGACATTTAATAAGTACGCCTGTTGTTACCAGACCTGGCAATGTGATTAAAAGCTGGCATATAAATGCTTGGAAAAGAGAGAAGGAGTCTTCATTTCAGCAAAAACATTCATGGGTTTATTTTTTAGTTACATATAAAAATGCCACCTCATATTGTATTTTCCCCCTCACAGGTCATCAAATGCAAAGCAGCTGTAATCTGGGAACCTAAAAAACCAATCAATATTGTGGAAATAGAAGTGGCTCCACCAAAAGCGCATGAAGTTCGTGTTAAGGTAAATGCAATAAATCCAGAACCAGATTACTGCAAATGATCAGTCAGTGTCTATATATATTCATTCAAAGCAGGCCGGCTCTACCAGTAGCAACTGTGAGGGACTAGAGGAAGTCTCAATTATAGCTTGATGGCTCAAGGACTTTTCTCTGTGGCCAGTGGTGCAGTAAGATTCAACTGTCAATCCATAAATATGTTTTATAAGGGGGATATCTTGTCCTTTGCTTTAGGCAGCAAAATGTCTCACACTGTGCCAAGGTCCTCAGCCTAGCTCCCCGTTGCTGGAATGCCTGCTCCATTATATAGACAGACCTCTCTCAGCTGAAACACATTCCCGTTTTCTAGAGAGTTACATGAGAATGATCTGTAGACAACGAGGAGACCATCACAGTGGTTCAATACTACTTGAATTGTTCTATCTTGAATTATGGATTCTGCCCTTTGGTGACATACTTCGAATTTTCTGCCTTATTTTGGCGAATGCACCAGAGCTCTCTGGAAGAAAGTTGTAAGTCTCTGACCAAACCACCAATCTCAGGATTCCTTAGAATGGACCAGGACAGTTGAAAGGGTAGCAAACTATTGTGACTGTGCAGCTCAAAAAGACCCCTTGTCTTCTGAGAACTCTATACGTACGAACATTGGAGCCCACAGAGAACTATGAATGCCTTAAAGAGAGTTTTCCATCTGGTGGGCCTTATGCATTTTTTTAACACAGTCATATTTCTGCAAGAAAGAGGCAGAACCTTTCTAGTTAATACATGCCTTTTAATCCAGAGATCAGAAACTGCAGAACTTGGGGTCAAGTGTGGCCCCCCAACAATCCCGAACCAGACCACCCATATGCCCCCCATCTTCATCATACTATCATACCATCATTTATTATATATACACACACATATACAGTGCATTTTCCCCACTCTAAAGGGTTACATACAGTATTAATGCTGTATTAGTTACGTTAAAACCTTTAAGCTGACATATGCAAACTATTTGTCCCACCTTTTTGCCTTTGGCTTTGTCAAATCAACACAGAACTTTCTCCCCTCTCTCTGGGGAACCTCCCTGAAATTGGATCTGACCCTTGGATCGAAAAGATTCCACACCCTTACTCTAATCCCCTTTCAAACACAAACAACTCGATAGTATGTTTACCTGAGGTGCCCTTTGATTACATAAGTAACAACGGGCACCTCAGGTAAACATACTATTGAGTGGATTTTTCATAAAAGATTCAGCATAATGGAAACATTTTCCAACACATTTCTGCTAGTGTTTAGGTCAGACTTCTGGTTCCCAAGTCCAGGCATCACAAGTCTCAAATATTACATACATTATGCCCCTATAAATCCAGGTTCATCGTCCACATTCCTTAGTCAGGGTGGTAGCTCGTGGGCATGCAACATGTTAAAAAAGGAAGAGAGGGGTGTTAGAGATAACGATCCAAATTAAACTGCAATTCCTGGAGTAGTTTGGAAACCAAGAAAATTTAACAGGTTCAATTCTCAGATTTTGGGGGAGGGGGCAATACACAACCTTCCTACAGTGCCCCTAGTGGCTTAATGCCAGCAGATTATTTTGTAGTGAGATCTTTAAGCAACACCATTTCTGGTAGCATTGCTAAACTAAGTTGAATGTCTGCACCCAATTTGCTTCTGTTTTCAAAATTGCATTGGCCCCATGCGTGATATATTTATGTCTAAGAGACATCATTCACATGAAGGCATTGGTGGTTTTAAGAATATGAGTTTTAGCTGTGCTTTTTAATTTCAGGGCTGTTCTCCTTTTATCCACATAACTGGGTCAGCAGTTTGTATAGGTCAGTTGGGTTTTGAATCCAGCTCTGTTGAGTGATAATTAGTTACTCTATCCGCTACACTGCAGTGACTCTTGAAAAAACATTCCAATTTATTTGTTGTTGTTCTTTCGACTTAAGAATGTCCAAAATATTCTCAAAGATCCATCACACCCGGGCCATTCCCTCTTTCAATTTTACCATCAGGTAAGAAAGAATAGGATAATTAAAACAAAACGAATAGGTTGAAAAACAGTTTCTATCCCAGAAACTGCAGCTACTGTATATTGAATTCCACTGTATAGTGCAATATTAATGAGTTGTGCGATGGGAAATTAAATGTGAAGGATGTGGATGTGAATGAGAGTGATGTGTTTTATGTGTAATGTGCTATGTTTTCATATTATGGATGCTATGTTCTTGTGTGTTTTATTATTATATGTACTGGAGATGACATTTAATTTTGTTGTATGGAGGTACAATGACAATAAAGTAAATTCAAATATACCCCCTAATGCTTGGACCACTCCCTAGGCAGTTTACAACAAAAGTATGCAAACAACAACTTGCACCCAAGCAAGTGAGGTACTCATTTAACTGACCTCAGAAAGCTGGAAGGCTGAGTCAACCTGGAGCCTGCTAGTTCAACCCATGATTTTCAAACTCATGTCATGAGCAGAACTTGACTGCAGGACTGCATTTAACCACTGCATCACCAACTTGATTATTTGAGTCTGCTTTTAGCGTAGGCTATTTTTAAAAACCCCTTCATGGATTGCTGTCTTGTTGTGGCAAAAGGGCTTGAGTAATTCAGAGAAGCTATGCGCTATGCCGTGCAGGGACACCCAAGACGGACAGGTCATAGTGGAGAGTTCTGACTAAACGCGATCCACCTGGAGTAGGAACTGGCAAGCCACTCCAGTATCTTTGCCAAGAAAACCCCATGAACAGAAACAAAAGGCTAAAAGATATAACGCTGGAAAATGCGCCCCTCAGGTCGGAAGGTGTCCAACATGCTACTGAGGAAGAGCGGAGGACAAGGACAAGTAGCTCCAGTGCTGAAGTGGTTGGGCCAAAGCCAAAAGGATGCTCAGCTGCAGACATGTGTGGAAGTGAAAGAAAATCCGATGCTGCAAAGAAAAATACTGCATAGGCACCTGGAATGTAAGATCTATGAACCTGGGTAAGTTGGTTGTAGTCAAACAGGAGATGGCAAGAATAAACATTGACATCATTGGGCATCAGTGAACTAAAATGGACGGGAATTAATGAATTAAATCCAGACGATTATCATATCTACTATTGTGGGCAAGGATCCCATAGAAGAAATGGAGTAGCCCTCATAGTCAACAAAAGAGTGGGAAAAGCTGTACTGGGATATAATCTCAAAAATGATAGAATGATTTCAGTATGAATCCAAGGCAGACCTTTCAACATCACAGTAATCCAGGTTTATGCACCAAACACCAATGCTGAAGGGGCTGAAACTGACCAATTCTATGAAGACTTACAACACCTTCTAGAACTGACACCAAAGAAAGATGTTCTTCTCATTCTAGGGGATTGGAATGCTAAAGTAGGGAATCAAGAGATAAAAGGAACAACAGGAAAGTTTGGCCTTGGAGTTCAAAACGAAGCAGGTCAATGGCTAATAGAGTTTTGTCAAGAGAACAAGCTGGTAATCACAAACACTCTTTTCCAACAACACAAGAAGTGACTCTACACATTGAAATCAC